AAATAAGGTGAATTTTAAACTAATCTGTAGACAATATACTGAACTAATTATTCTTTATGTGCATGTTTTGGGATCATTGAGGTTAAGTAACAGGGTTGTACTTGTATGTAAAGTAGGGAATGTCATCATGCAATTTTTAATGTTTTCAGTTAGCAAGCATAAGTTCAGGAAGTGTAGAGATTGGGAAATGGGATGTATTGTTTTCGAATTAGATATTTCTACCTTCAGGAAATGAAAAAGCTAAGTAAAATGGTTTTGAATGTAATAACTTTTCTACAGGTATTTTTATATATCTATAATAAATTGTTATCTAACACTTTATTCACTTGGAGTGCTTTCCTTTTTATGTCAGTTTGAAAATGTGCTTTATTGAATAATAATAGTATTTCAAACACTGTTTGCCATATTCAGTGGACATGGCAATCATTGTGCATTGGGGACATTATTACTATATCACTTCTAAATTTTGAAAGTTACTAAGCAACTAGATAAAGAATGCAGTGTTAACAATGATAATAGGCATAATACTAATATCGTGTAACAAATATAATTAAGTTACTGTTTTGTTTTACTGCTATAGTTTAGTATCTGCCAATGTCCAGCATTGCAAGAATTGCATTTGAAGCAACAACTGTTTGGAGAATTCTTTGGTTGTATGTTACAGGTGAGTGCTGCTGATAGAATTTGAGATATTCTTTTTTTAGGAATAATTAGTTTAATCTTCAAGTAATACCTATTTTTTTGCTATTACCAATGTAGAAAGGCCCGGCATGGCCAGGTGGTTAAGGCGCTCGACTCGCAATCTGAGGGTCGTGGGTTCGAATCCCCGTCACACCGAACATGCTCGTCCTTTCAAAGAGGGAAGGCTGTCAAGTGGGTTGCATCCTTGACGTAAGAAAACAGCTTTAGAAACGATGGTAGAGCAAGATCTGCCATCGGCTCGACGGTCCGCTCGGACTATGAGAAAAACAAAAAATGTAGAAAAGTGAGACTTTGAAATGTGTGTGAAGCTTTTAAATGTATTCCAAGTAATAATAATTGTTAGAGAGCTAGCCTATGAAAATGCAAATTATAGAATGTTACACTTATTATAAATGTGTGATACCTAGATTATATACTTCAGTTAGCCTGCATTACTGATTTTCATAGTGGCTTATATGAAGCCATTTTTATATATATGTTTGTATAATAAATATTAATGCCTGTAGTGATGTGTAACACATGTATTTCTATTATAAGAATAAGTAATTGCTACAGTTTGTAACACCACTTTGTAAGCTCATGAGCTAGTAAGACAGCACACTTCTCTAAAACTAATGTAAACCGTATGTTAGTTTATATATTAAGATACAACAGTAAAAATTTTTTTCCCACATTGTTTTTATGTAATTCAAAAGCTTTCCTCACAGCTTTAGTAACTATCTTCAAGTGTTTCATTTTGTGTTTTAATGAATTTATGTATCATCTAAATAAATAAATAGTTGTTCTAAAGCATGGTAATTCTATAAGAAATCTTTATGTGGAGTATACATGAAAATAAACTAATGAACAAGAAAAATATAGATTTTTATTTTATTTTATTAATAGGTGAACACTTTGGTAATCAAACTTTTCTTTTTCTTTGTTTTTATATGTTGCACTGACTTTGTTGTGATACTGGTATTTTCAGGTGTAAGCTGTTCTCCCAACAGATAGTTAGATCCACTAATAAGAACAGAAAATATGGAGATTAATCTGTGTTTGATAATGTAACTGAATTTTACTAGTGCATGTGAAATAACGAGACTGGACAATTTTAACAAAATATACACAGTCTGTATTATAAAACACATAAAGAAGAAAATACAGTGTATGTTCTTGTGCCCATGAAAAGATAGTTGCTTTTACTGGATTGTGATATGTTGTAGAGCTTTCTTTATCTTGGGAATGTCTTCTGTCAAACTAAACACAATGATCTTAAAGTATATCTTTAATTAGAAAACTCCAGGTAGAACTGAACTAAGAAAGCATGCTTTAATTCTAGGGATAAACTTGGTTTCTTTTCCAGTCGACAGTGATCCTTGTTTCTTCCCAGCATTTGGTAAGCTGTAACATACAGAAAGTATTGAGTTGGCTAGTGAAGGATATTACAGTTACTAATCCTTTAACCCAGATGCTCTATGTTACTGTAATATCTTCTCGGGTGTTACAGTCACTAATCCTTTCAACCCAGATGCTCTATGTTACTGTAATATCTTCTCGGGTGTTACAGTTGCTAATCCTTTCAACCAAGATGCTCTATGTTACTGTAATATCTTCTCGGGTGTTACAGTCGCTAATCCTTTCAACCCAGATGCTCTATGTTACTGTAATATCTTCTCGGGTGTTACAGTCGCTAATCTTTTCAACCCAGATGCTCTATATTATTGTAATATCTTCTTAGGTAGAATAGACAGTATTTATTGTAGAGAACAAAGCAATTAGAACTAGGCAACCTCAACAACTTTCTGGACCACTTATTTAGGCTAAAACAAACCAAATAAATAAAAACGTTTAAAAATTCTTACATAACTAAGTTGTAGAAAACATATGATATGTCTACATATTACAAAATTACAGTTACTGAATCTCTTGATAATGGTCCATAACAAAATTGTTGACATTTTTTTTTAGAGTCAAATAATGTTCAATCTTATCCCTTAAAAAGATCTGTTAAAATGGTATTTAGACATATTTGAGTACACCTATACTGCTACGTGTATTATTAAGTGTCATGTTATTATCTATACTTCTGTATTTGTGTGTGATACATATTTATAGTAATCCATGAATATTTTATGTAGCATCCACCTGATTTTAGCTTGAATGTTACTATGCTTCAGTTTGGATTATGCTGTGTGGATGATACTCCTTTTGCAAAGGTAAGTAAATGTTCCTAGGCATTATCAGGCCAGTTATCCCTCTGTGTTTCAATGGAAAACAAAATTGTTCATACAAAGCCATTCCATAATAATCAATAACTGCATGTCACCTGCGTAGACCAAGGACTAAAAATTTACCCAATGAATAATGTAGCTACCTTACAGTCAGTTGTAGGATATTGTATTTGAAATCTTTATTTTCAAAATTGAAATGGTATTCAAATAATACTAATCTCAAATGGGACACATCTCGTCCACTTCTTTTAACATCAAAAAATAAATGAATATGATTATGAATTATATTATTCTGCTGTATTAAGAACTAACTGAATATTTTTATGGTGAACCTTCACTTCGTGTTCTACCTGTACAATTTAGATAATATGTTTTAACAGGCTCTCAAAAGCCAGTGAGGGACATTTTTGTTGAAAAACAAACTCCCCAATCCAGTTTTTCTTAATTTGAGCTAAAATTTTTTGGACTTGTTTATTGGCTAAAAAGAAGGCATTTTCCACATTATTTTAATGTTGAGGCTATGAAATGTGATTTGAAGTGGTAAGATGAGTGAAATAATGAGCTTAATGGCCAAGCACAAGAAGCATGGAAGTCTCCAAATGACATGCAGAGGTATTCAGGAACATTTAGAACCACCTTAATAGATATTGTGCAGCAAGCCAAGTACAATATTATGCGTGTAGCTGTTTTCCTGTCTGCTTATCCTACTGCTGACTATCGTGATGCTTTGACCTTCCCTACCGAATCACAGGTTAAATCATTCATATCTCAATTGAAAGCTAAACATAAAAAGGTGATAGCAGAAGCATAAAAGGTTGGCAATTGCTTATTTAATAATGCTGAGAATGTAGCTTTATTGATATATACTAAATTTGCTCTCAGCGGGTAGGCCTTAGTACTAATTAGTATGGAGATTTGAAGATACTGTATTTCACTTAAAAATTTATCAGTTAACAAACGAAAAAGTTGTCTCGAAAAGATACATCCAAAACTACCCTCTTTGGGAGTTTCTGGATTGAATTTACTTTTAATTTTCACCAAATTGTAATATAAAGACACTCTCTGGGTCCTGAGGAACATGTTAAAAATAATAGCTCAAAGTTCAGCTGGAAAACCTATTTACATTATAGTAACAATAAATTTACTTTTGACGTGTTTTGAAATTCTCTGTTTTGGCAATAAGTATCTCAACTATAAGAAATTTAAAAAAGGAATCATTAAACAATCTCAGTTTGTTTGTTTTTTCTTATAAGTGCAGTAAAAAAATGACAGTGTTCTTATGTGTCACCAAGGTACACTTATAGTTTTACTTAGAGATTTTAAATAGGAGCCTGGGAATGCCAATCCACTCTGTTTTCTTTCTGCCTAGTTTTTATTCAATTATATTTATCACAGTTCATCATCTCCTTTAGCACATGCTCGTTTTCTATGAATATGAATTACTTTTCTATTGGTTTTGCAGTTGTCGTAAGCAATGAAACTCTCATTCACACTTTTTTAAAAAACAAGGTGTTCCCTCCACCAGTAATTGATTTCAGAAAACATAATAAGTCTACTCTAACTGTAATGTGTACCACTGTGGTACATGCATTTACATTCAACCTCTTATGTACATGTACACAATATGTAATCAGATGGTCAGTGGTAGTTGAGTTTAAAATGTTTCATTATATTCTACAGTTGTCTCTCAGGGCTGGACGTGGGTAAGTGGTTAGTGTGCTGTACTGTGAATGAATTCAAGAGTCCGTGGTTCACTAGTGAAAAATTGTGCTCTACTCTTTGAGGCTGTGGGTGCATTATAAGAGTGACAATCAAATCCAACTATTCAATTAGAGTACTGTTGACTATGTTTTTCCTGCAGTCTATCAGTTCAAAATTAGGGATGGCTAACACAAATATCCCTTGTGTAGTTTTGCCAAAATATCTGAAACAAACACTTTTCTCCGAGTTTATCTTCACTGATATAGTAAAATGTTAGTCTAGAATTTGTGGCTATCAAGAATATCAAGGCAATTTCATATTACATTTTAAGAAGCATTATTTTTAAATATATTAGTCTAAATATGTTTTCTTTCAGGCAGATGCTGTCACCATCACTAATCATTTAACACAATGGGTGTCAGCAAAGCTGGAATACAGGTACATGATACTCTGTAAAAGCAGGTTCCTAATGTTGATCCACTTACATTCATTTTAATTTAATGGTACAATAAATAAAGCGTAGAACTACCTTTATATCACAATTAAAAAGATTTTTAACTGTTTGTAACGACAGCAATTTCTTTATGGATAATGTTATATTATTCATAAATAAACAAGAAAATAATGATTATAAACATTGGCAATTGAAAAAATTTTTCTCACTGTTTTATAATAAATATGAATATATTTGAAAAAATAAATTTTCGATAAGGAAAATACATTTTATGTCACTAGAGGTAGTTAACTACTTTTAAACAGTTAAAATTAAAATGTATTCAGTATAGCCGGGATTGGAAAGACTAACTTCAAGTAGCTGGGCTTGTCTCAGCTGTCCCGTGTTATACTTGAATAATTTTACAAAAGAAAAAGGTAGGAATATGAACTACATAGAAATTTTAAGGTAGGGTATATAGTTTGTCTTAAGATCATTCTAAATAAGATCTTTTAAATTTTATTAAAAACATTATTATGCCATTTTTGTTTTAGAAAAGGATGGAGGTTGGGAGTAACTTATAGTAGAATTATTAGGGTGGATTTATTATTTTTACTACTTTAGGAACTATTAAAACTTTTAAGTGTGGAGTTTGGGAAGAACTTTTAGTAGAAATATATTTGGAATGATTTTATTTTATTTCTACTTTTGATATTATTAGAACTTTTAAAGGTAACTGGCTGCAGACAGTGAATGGCAGTGAGAGTTGAGACATTATGGGTATAAGCACTTGACTCCACACCCTTAATTGATTTTCCATGATTGCTAACTAGTTTTTCATCTGCATTTGGATTTTGTCTGATAGATTGGATATCCCCAATGTTTTTGGGAGCTATCACCATAGACAATTTCCCTTATGACTTCAAGATTACAACTGGAAGTTACAATGGACTTTATAAAATATTTTAAATTTTAATATATTAAGTTCATTATTATTTTGCTGATTTTAATTGCCTATTAATAACTAATGTAATTAATATGATAATAGTTTTGAAGCTATTTCTTATGTATATAACAATATTTTTTAATTTCCCTATTTATAACATTATTTATTTGCTCAATTCTTAGGTGGTGGCTCAGTTTTTTGTGTTACACCATCAACACTTTTCATCCCCCCATGTGATTCCAGAATGTTTGATGTTACCTTTGACCCTGTATGTATTTTTTCTTCATATTCATGCTGTTTGTTTTTGAATAATATATTTTGTGATTGAAGGTGTACACTGTATAAATATTGTTAGGATAATGTCTACTTAATCTTTTGATAATTATGCAAGTTAACAAGATTGAAAAATGTTTCTAATGATATAAATATAACAACTTTTTAGAATTCAACAGATTCAACTGCAAGATCCAATGTATGCCTTCTAGGATTGAGAAGAGTTTTTAAACTATGTGTATGAAATGTTAAATAGTAAAACATGATGGTTTCATAGATATGTTTAACTGATTTTCATTATTATGTACAATCCTCACAAGTCACATATTTTTTGATAGATCCTGTCCAGTAGTTGTTTTAATGTATTTGTTATAGTTTGGATTAATTATTTGTGTTAATATATTTCACCCATCTGTAATTGTTTAATATATATGTATTTATACACACACACGAACATTTATCAAAATATTTAATGCTGGAGCAGGCCTCTGTCAACAAAGTGTTCAGCAGTGTACTGGAGTGTTATCTTTCAGCTACTGATGAATTTAATGATGATTCTCACATACTGAATACTTCTTCAGGATATTGTGTGAAAGTGATTGCCTCAGGTAAAAGTATTTAATAGTTTTGTAATTTCACTATTAAAGTGTTATAGAAAATAGGTATTTTTAGCATTAATACTGAAATGTCTTGTTTTCAGTAAGCATTGTTCTGAAATGCCCAGAATTGCAATTATTAGGGTATAGTGTCATATTTTATAAGATTTATATGCTGATTAGAAAATAAAGTATATACTATGTTCTTTCTCATTATTCATCACGTGACCAATAGCAAATGAAGCAAGTGTTGGTGATATAGCTAATAAGAATCATTAAAATGATGCTAAAATTAACCACTTAAATACCAGATATATGTATTTGAATATCATTATTGTTTGCATGCGCAATACATGATGTACATGAGAAGTGTATAAACTCCCTCTTTTTCTTATATACTGGAGATGTGCATATATGTATTATTGTTCACATGTACAATACCATGATGTACATGAGAAGTGTATGAACTCCCTCTTCTTCTTGTATACTGGAGATGTGCATATACATATCGTTGTTTACATGTACAATACATGATGTACATGAGAAGTGTATGAACTCCCTCTTCTTCTTGTATACTGGAGATGTGCATATACATATCGTTGTTTACATGTACAATACATGATGTACATGAGAAGTGTATGAACTCCCTCTTCTTCTTATATGCTGGAGATGTGCATATATGTATCATTGTTCACATGTACAATACCATGACGTACATGTGAAGTTCATGAACCCATTCTTCTTACATACCATAAAATGTGTATATGCATATCATTGTTTTGTAAGTGAACACTATCATGAAATACATGAGCAGTTCAAGAATGCTCTTCTTTACTTCAATGTAATGAACGAGTTATTGCTAATTATTGCCATACACAATCGTTTTCTATTAAAGAAATGTCTAAGAAAGGCTACATGATCTATTTTTATTAAGTTACAAGTACCAGATGTGAGAGCATCATTTTGTTCTCAGTATTGTGGAGAAATCTGAACAATCATTATGTAAGCTACTAAAGTGCTTGTTTTATTACCTAGTTATTTATTCTATTTCCACTGTTTTAATTTAGTTTCTTACATTTCAAGACTACTACTACCAAATAGATACTATGATCTTCATTAGTCATTAGGCTATCTTACCAGTGGTTCTCAGACTTTTTAGATCGTGCCCCTTTCGTCTGTGGTATTTGACACCTCCAACTTCTCCTCCTTGCACACACAAACTTACATATTATACCAGCAAAAAAAAATCCAGTGAACCACTTACTAAATATCAAAAACCTTAGTGCACCACAAGTGCAAACAGATGGGTGTACAAGTATATAATGATGTAAATTTTGTGAGATACTGCTTATCTATTAGTGATAAAAGTGCACCCATTTATTGTACAGAGATATTCCATCTGGGGCTCGATAACCATCTAAAAGTCTAAATGGAAGAGGACTTCATCCAATGATGTGGATATGTGAGCTTAAAATAAAGCATGAGTTAGACACAACTAAATATGTTGACATGCTCACCAGCAATAAGATTTGGTATACTTTGTCAAAAAGTGAGATTGTTTTTTATTTTTTCTCGTGAACCTTCTTGTGCTTCTCCCCCAGGATAGGTTGTTTGTCCCTCAGTTTTAGAACCACTTCTATAATTAGTAAAGCTATTTTGCATTCTCTTCCAAGTGATTCTGTTACACTGACCTGAAAAACAGCACAGTTTTGAACATTGTATCTAAAACGTACGGGAAGTTGAAATATTCTTCATATTTTCTTTTTGATGTACTTGTTAGTCTTTACTTAATTTTTTGAAGGTGTCAGCATTTTCTAGCTATGCAGGACATATAAAAATTAGTGATGAGTGTTTATAAAAATTTATTTTAATTTTTTTGAAATTTTCTGTACTTTGGTAAGGAGTAAGATGCCAAAATAGTTCCACAAGTATCTTTATGAAAATACATATTATTATAAAAATGTTATAAAGTGTTTTATGTTTAAATGTGTAAAAAACATAATTAAGAATAAATCCTGTTTTATTTGATAGCAGAAAGACAACATCTTTGTAGTGTTGAGGGTTTTACTGTTGTAAAAACTGATAAATGTAATTATTAACATTTGTTTATTACAGTCTTTAAAATATTGGTTTACAAAATATACAAGTTGCTGTTTTCAGCTGTTTATGTCATACTTAACAATTTTAGAAAGGATTATGGGGAAAAGATTACTGCCAAGTACAGAATACGTTAAAAAACGTGTGTATGTGAAAAACTGGTTGTAGTTTCAGAGATAATGTTTTTAGTACTTAGTTTTTCTTTCCTCAAAATTATGAGAACATTAACTTTTGTAGTGTCACACAAGTATTCAGTAGTAAGATAACTTATAATCAGATTTATTTTATAAGCTATGTCTGTCTCAAACTCAATTTCCATTATTTAGTGTTATTACAATTTGTCTTGTTTTAGGTCACACATGTTTGAATACAAATGTGATCTCTGAAGGAGGAAATTGCTTAGCTATGCCTAAACATGTAATACTTGAAGTATCATCTTTAAGTCAAGTGTGCTACAGTACTGTACTGCTCATAAACAATTATTCAACAGACCTTTTATTTGAGTGTATTTGTCAAAATGCAAGGTAAGATACTTTCAATGTAAATGTGAGATTTGCTTATGTAGAGCTTAATCCATATACGGTAATTATATGCACAAATAACGTCTTTAGGTGAGAATCTTGCCTGAAGTATTTTGCAACTGTTTCCCTTCTACATAAAGATTCTTACCAATTACTTTAATTATTTCTACCTATTTCATACATTACACACAGAAATATAAACAAGTGTATTTCAAACTGTTCTTTAAGTTATTGAAATACTTATGAACATATGAAGTAGATTTATGGAGTTACAAGGAACATTTCTAGTCATATGATAGTTTTTAAATTCACAGAAATGACAGAAAAGTCACATTCAATGAATCAGAACACTAATTTGATAAACTTGGCTATATAAAAAATGATTGGCTGAAAAATGCCACTCTAATAAGATTTGTTATCACGATTCTATTGATAAACTTAATTTTATAAAGAATATTACCTTTAGCAGGATTTACAAGCATCATTTTATTGATAGGCTTAATTTTATCAAGAACTGCCATTTTTAGTGAGATTTTGCAATTATCGTTGAGTTTATAGGTTCCATTTTATCAGTGATGGCCAATTTGAACAGCTTGGCAACCATTTTTTATATTATTAGGCTTGATTATATAAACAAAAAATATAGAAAAAATTACAAGCATGATAAATAGGCTAAATTAGACCAAGAATGCTAATTTGAGCTTGATTACAAATGTAGTTCTGAAATAACACGTGGACTTTCATTTAACTGTTTGGAACAATATATGGAATGCATGATTTCAGATCAGTTGTTATTTAAGTGTAAGAGGGAAATATATATATTTCAATGATTAAACACACCGTCTATTAATTTGTTCCCATAATTTTGATTGAAAGTCCATTTACAAGGTTTATAAAAGTTTTGTTAATTTGAGGTATGATGAGAAATATTTTACTCTCTATCTGTTTTACATGTCCTTGCAGAAGTATTAAACACAGAGCACCAACAAAATTATAACTGTTCAGCCACTTCATTAGGCTTACAACTTGTCTTGAAAGCTGCTAACAGCATTAGTTAAAGTAGGCTACTTCTAATAAAAATATGAGATGAGAGTCCTGTCTGAACTGAAAACTGTAACTAGGAAAACAGTAATTACAATGAACATTTCGGCTAATTATATTAAAAGAAACAATTTTTAACATGTTTTAAGTTTTTGTGATATTTTTTTATTATTATTTTGCATCTGCCAATTAAGTTAGTTTTAAGCAGAAGACATTATTATTAATGTTTTACAGTGCAACATTGCATGTGTGAAATATTGTAATTAGTTTTTCATGAAATTTAGGTTTAGTATTCATTGCTTACCCCAGACTGGAATAGTACCTGCAGGAAAGCATTATGTTTTGTTAATGAAATCTGGGCCACAGCACTTGAATTTAGAAGGAGAACTACAAGTGAGAGGAGAAGTTAGCATTTCATTTACTGGAAAAGATGTTTACTACAAACAGGTAGACTACAGTCACAACTACTGAAAAATATAGTGTCTATGTGTTTGATTGTTTATAGATTAATCATAAGTAACCCATAAACTTTTATATTTGCAATTTATATTTGATAAATAGTATTTGTTATATATTAGTATAATAACAGTACTTTACTAGTTAGAATTAAAAAGCAAGAAGTGGTTAGTTTGTAAGGCTAGTCTAATAACTAATGTCTAAAGTCATTCTTCTACACTTTTTAGAAATTAGTATCTGATATATGGTTTGTAAGCTTGTACTGTTATATATAACTAGCAGTATTGCCCAGGTTTTCAAAAAAACAAAACTACTCTCTCTGTTTCCCTGTTCCATATTTCTATAGGTACAGAATATTTTGTGAATTTAGGAAAAAAAACATGTTAGGTTTGATTTTTGAAAATAAACTACGAACCTGTTTTACATCAGGTATTCCTTATGAACGATGTTTTTGTTTTTTCTTCACTGGCAAGGATAAATAGGCCCTT